CCCAATCCCAAACCCTTTCCCTGTTTTCCCCCAGCCCGGCTCCGCTCCCAGATTTTTTACAACCGGGAGAGCAAAGTTCCCGAAACTGGGATGGGGCTCCGGGCTCGTCCCCTCCCCGAAACTCCCGGCAGCGGCAGCTCCGTTTATCCCGGGATTTCCTGCATCCCGGGATTGTCCGGTTTCCTCTCTCCCAGCCCAAATTGTCCCGGTTTTTTCCCACGTTCCTGGATTATCCCGGTTTTTCCCACATTTCAGGGTCGTCTCCTTGGTTTTCCCAACATTCCCAGACTGTTCCGGTTTTTCCCAACATTCCCAGTTTGTCCTGGTTTTTCCCAACATTCCTGGATTATCCCGGTGTTTCCCACAACCCGGGATTGTCTCCTGGTTTTTCCCACATTTTCCCCACATTTTCTGGATTGTCCCACATCCCGGGATTATCCTGCTTTTCCCCACATTCCCAGATTGTCCTGTCTCCTTTTTCCCAAACTCATCCCATAAATCCCGCTGATCCCAGATCCAGGCTAGGACATCCCCGGCCCCAAATCCCTGGAATCCCACAGGAAATCCCTGGAATCCCACGGGACCGGCCAGGAGCGGCTCCTCCTCCCACAAATCCCGTTTGGAGCGGATTTATTCCCAAATCCTGGAGATCCAACCACGCCTGGATCACCTCCCTCACCCCGTGGGATGAGCCCGATCCCAAAGATTCTTTGTGCTTCCCAAATCCCAAATCCCAAACCTCCCCAAATCCCAAACCTTTCCTTGTCCTTCCAAAACCCCAAACCCTTCCCTGTCCCTCTCAAATCCCAAATCCCAAACCTTCCCCAATCCCAAACCTTTCCTTGTCCTTCCCCAATCCCAAATCCCAAACCTTTCCCTTTCTTCCCAAATCCCAAATCTTTCCCTGTCCCTCTCAAATCCCAAACCTTTCTGTGGGAGTCCCTCCCTCCCTTTGGGAATTTTTGGGATTCCCCTGGGATCAGGATCCTCATCCCTCATTTCCTGGGGGTCCTTCCCTAACCCCTGGTAGCCCCCACTCCCCTCTTGGTAGCCCCCTGTTCCTCTCAGTGGTCCCCATCCCCCGGTAGCCCTTGCTCCCCTCCTGGTGGCCCCCTCTCCCCTCCTGGTGGCCCCCACTCCCCTCCCAGTGATTTCCACCCCTTGGTAGCCCCCGCTGCTCTCCTGGTAGCCACCCCTCCCCTCCCAGTAGTCCCCATCCCCGGTGGCCCTCCATCCCCTCCTGGTCGCCATCTCTACTTTCCCAGTAGTCCCCACCCCCAGTAGCCCCTGATGCCCTCCTGGTAGCCCCTGCTCCCCTCCCAGTAGCCACCCCTACCTTCCCAGTAGTCCCCACCCCCAGCAGCCCCTGATGCCCTCCTGGTAGCCACCCCTCCCCTCCCGGTAGCCCCCGCTCACCTCCTGCGGGTCCACGGTGCAGTAGTGATACAGGTACTGGTTGAGCACGGTGCCCCCGGCGTACACCTGGCTGCACATGGCTAGCAGCGGGCTGTAGTAGTAGCCACCACCGCTCATCTGCGCCTGGGGATTGACTCCCACCACGTACACGATGCTGGCCACCAACATCACCAAAGCCAGCACCGCGCTGGCCACCAACACCACCAGGTAAAACCTCCGCGAGCGCGACCCGCTGGCTTTGCTCAAACTGGCCACCAACAAACCCAACTGGGCTAGGAAACACAGCACGGCCATGGCGATCATGAAACCGTTGGCCGTGCGCGGGTTGGTGGCCCCTCCGTAGTAGCCACCGTAGCCATATCCGTAATTAACGCCGCCGCCGTAATAACCCGAGCCGTAATAACCTCCCAGGCCGTTGCCAAAAACGCCGCTGCCGTAGCCAAAGCCGTAGCCGTACTCCCAGGCCAGCGTGGAGGCCACGCAGGCGAAGATGGCCACGCACAGCACGAGGACCAGCACCTCCAGCACCTTCACCAGCCCCGGCGGCGACGACCACTTGTAGAAAAGCTGCGGCGACTCCTCCATGTAGTAGGAGCCCGGAGGAGGCGGCGAGCGGGCGCTGAAGTCGTAGCCGTAGTCGCCCGTTGTTGGTGGCCCATAAGTCGTCGTTGGTGGCCCGTAAGTGGCCGTGGGTGGTGGCCCGTAGCCGCTGCCGTAGGGTTTTTTGGGGAACATCCCTAAAAAGGAGGGAGGGGGGGACACACACGAGGGTGGCTCGCGGGAGGCTCTGGCGGAGGTGACACAGGAGGGAGGACTTTGGCCACTTCGTCATGGGCGCCGCCCACGAGGAGTGGCCACCAACCTCTGAGTCGGAGTGGCCACCACGCCCCTGAGTCGGAGTGGCCACCCCCTGAGTCGGAGTGGCCACCACGCCCCTGAATCAGAGTCGCCACCCCAGAGTGGCCACCACCCCCTGAATCAGAGTGGCCACCACCCTCTGAGTCGGAGTGGCCACCCCAGAGCCGGAGTCGCCACCCCCCAAGGCGGAGTGGCCACACCAGAGTGGCCACCACCCCCCGAATCGGAGTGGCCACCCCCTGAGCCGGAGTGGCCACAAATCCTTGGAGATGTCACCAAAAAACAA